GTTCCGTCTGGGCTTTGCCCGGTGCGGTTTGTGTCGGTGCTTGCCTGCCCGCACGCAGGTGGCTGAGGGGACTTCCCTCCCAAAATACCGGTCGGGAGTTAATGCCCACCCCGGATAGCCTCCTGCAGTCAGGACTGGAACGGAGAATTGCCTCTGCAGGTAAATACTAGGCTTCCAGGTTGCAAAGGGCTACGCGTTATGCGTACTGGCTTTAGCAAGTGAGTATTACTGCTTCGTTAAATGAAGCTGCTGCAGTTACTCCTGAGAGCCCAGACTTAATTTAGCGCTGCAAACACATCGTTAAATAACTGCTATACGCGCAGCATTGCAAAGAAGGTTTGGCCTCAAGTAACACTGAAGTGTCCGTGATGTTTATATCTTCTCTGCAGACGGGCAGTCAGTCGTGCTGAGACCAGAGATGTGAAATACTGGGGGAGGTTAGAAAGCTTCTTAAAAAATTCTGTAGCTCCCAACTGCGTGCATTCTGTTTTGCCCTTCTGGCTGCAATTTGGCAACTCCTTCATGTAGCAATATTCAGGGCTTGCAAAGAACGACTGAGAAAGAGGATGCAATCCAACCATTTACAGGGCAGTCCTTGTCTGAATACATTTCAGGAGCGTTTCAAGGACAGAAACAGAGGAGTGGTAACTTTATTTAGGTCAAGTTCTGGGAACAGGATGAAGGCCTTTCAATGAGTCAAAAGAAATCCTGCCTCAAAAAATGGCTGCTTGTTTCCTGTGTTCAGGGGTGATGCCACGCTGAAGGGTATGTACTGCCAAATTTATTTTTAAGAGTGCTTTAGCTCATTTTCACTGATGCTCACTGAACTTGTGTAAGTGATATGCCACCACTTCTCCAGACATAACCAAAGCTAAGGGAATTCTGGCTGTCCTCCACGCATTTCTGCTAGCACCAGCCCTCGCTGTAGCACTGCTGCCTTTCTGGAACAGAGCATTACATTTTAATCTTTGCTTTTGCTCAACCTTGCAGTCGAGTTACCCATAACCTATGTCCTAATTGTCTTTCAAATATCTACCCCTTTACCATACACCTTCATTTTAGTATTATGGGCAATACAGAATGTAACAATGAACTCTGGGGTTTGACAGTAGCCCTAAAAGCACCCCAGCATATTGTGTCTACGTAAAACCATATGCTTCTGTTCATTCCAGTCACAGTCCCAGCTAAGAAACTGCAGGATCCAACAAGACATCCAATGGATAGTTTAGTTCCTGGTTGTTGTCTAAGCCTCAATGTAAAGAGAAACCAGCAACACGTGTACCTTTAGACAAACCTTAACTGAAGGTTGTCCCCATGCGGGACAACCAGGGGATCGGGCCCAGCCAGCACGGATTCATGAGAGGCAGGTCCTGCTTGACCAACCTGATCTCCTTCTATGGCCAGGTGACCCGCCTAGTGGATGAGGGAAAGGCTGTGGATGTGGTCTACCTGGACTTCAGTAAGGCCTTTGACACTGTCTCCCACAGCATTCTCCTAGAGAAGCTGGCGGCTCACGGCTTAGACAGGTGGACTCTGCGCTGGGTCAAAAACTGGCTGGACGGCCGGGCCCAGAGAGTTGTGGTGAATGGAGT